CGGCGGTGCCGGCTCCGTCCAGCTGGCCTCGGAGCCCTGAGGGACGGGCTGGCGCAGGGCTAGCCACAAGAGGTGGGTGCAGGTGCTGTTCTGTTGCTTGAATGCCCTCTAAAAACCGAGGAAAAAGTTGGGCGGCAGCCACCAAAGTTGGGTTTGTTGAACCGTTGGGAAGGCGTCACTGACATACCTTCCTCAGGCGATTGGCCTGTTGGGTACTGGGCTGCAATTAATGTAGGTGGCACCTCGGTGGTGGGGGAAGATGCAGAAGACAAGTTTGCAAGTTAAAGGATTAGTGGGTTGTAATTTTGTTTGTTTTAAAGGTGGAAAGACTGGAAACGTCTAACTTACCGTAGCAAGTCCTCTGCTGTCTTTGGATTGCTTAAGAAGTTAACAATAATTTTTTTTTCCAAACTGATATGTTACTGTTTTGGTACGAGTTCTGGGTACTGTGTGTTATGTCTGCTTGCACATTACAATGGCGTTGCATTTGATTTCTCAAGGACCATTTACTCTCTGTTGGATATCAAAATTGCAGGGTATTGAAGCAGAACATAACAGATTTTAACTAAAAGACACACAGTAACGGCTACATAAAATGAGAAACAAGTCTTCTTTTCTACTTAGCCTTCCAAGAAGAGTCATAATCCTGTCTACTAAAATTGTGTATTGTTTTAATGAAGCAGAAAAGAGAATCTGGTTTTGGATTGGGTAGAGCTTTGTCATGCCAAGACAATATTGCACACCATTAATTGTCAATTTATATTCTGTTATAAATAGGTCTGTGTAAAGAGTTGGTTGTGCCACCTTCATTAGTAATGCCGGTGTTCCTGCTGTTGTGCCCAGACTGAGGCAGCACTGGAAGTAAATATGCCAGCTGTCATTTGTTCACTAAGGGAGCTGCCGCTTAAGTTTTTCTGCTGAAAACTTGCATATTAATTTCTGATGGTGGCCTGACATAGGTTATTGTCTGACATCATTGTGCATTATTCCATTTGCCTACTTAAAAGCGGTCAGGAAATATTTTGTTATAAGGTTGCGGGTGTCAGCTGGAGCAGAGCTTTCTGTTCCAAGAGCTTCTCATGTGGTTACACTAGGTCAGAGAAGTAAGAGGGCCTGTAGCTTTCTTTATCTTTGCAGTCATCCAACACATCTTCCCTGGGACATGCTTGAGGGGAAGGATGCACAGAGGCCTGTGTGTGGCAGGGGGAGCAGAGGTGTGTGTTATGGCCGTGTTATCTCATTGTCGCGCTGGATTTCAGAAAGGCACTTTGGGTTCAGCTGGCACAGGTCCAGGCTGCAGCCTGCACATCCTGCAGGCTGTGCCTGAAGCAAAAGGGGCAGGTGACAGAAGAGCAACAGATGGTACCCTGAAGGAATTTAAGAAAGCAATTGTACGGATGTTGGTTGGTATGAATGGCAATACATACTGGAGACCCTAACTAGCCTGTGGAGGATTTTAGCTGCTGACTTATCTACTTTTATTTTTATGTAAAAAGCAGCAGTGTGTCATTTAGAATATGCTTTGTAGGAAAGTTGTAGCATGTAAGTCTCTGGTGTCTTATGGCACTTTTGCAGCAGGCAACTTGGCAAATTTGAGTTGCTACTCTAGGAGCCACAGCTAGAGTGCATTTATCCTTTCTTTGTCTATCAGAAGAAAGACCGAAATGTTTAAAAAGCTATGTCTAGTGGATTATGGGAGAGAAAAAAAAAAAAAAACCCACAAAAAACACTCTACCTGGTCTTGAAGCTGGCAGGTGCATGTAGTTCATTCAGTGCTTGTTTTTGAGTCACTCCTGATTCTCCTTGGGTACCTGGTGTTTGTTCATGGCCCCTCTCTCTTTTCTTTGAACATCAAAGTGAGCACCACCCTGTCTGCTTGCTGGTGTGGATTCTGAGTAAGGCTTTTAGCTGCCCTGGAACTGGTTTTCAGGCCTGTTGAAGAATTTTGCCTCTGGCAGTGCCAGAAGTACCACTGCTATAAGTAAGTAGCATAAGAAGTTGGTGATCTTGGCTAAAAAACTCTAACAACACTCTTCACAATTCACTGAGAGTCTATGGTCTTAGCCATAGGATTCCACAGCTTCAAAACAATTTGCTTGAAAACTTAATACTGTTCACACTAAGTGGTTTCCATGAAAAAAAAAAAACTATTGTCATAATTGAAAGTTATGCATAAGAGCACACTTGACCAAAAAACCCCCAAACTACCAACAAAGAAACACAAAACCCCAACAAAACCAGAAAAGTTGCAATGAATTTAAATACTTACACCTTTGGCTTTCAAACTTGAAAGATCAAATCTTCTTTTGCAGCTTAAAGTCAGTGGGTGAAACCATGTGTACACTAGATTAAATGCATCATTGTCTTTGATTTCAGTTAAATGAAAATTTTCAGGTAAACAGTTTACTTTCACAAGTTTATGTAAAAATCTGATACATAGTTCTCAGTTATAAAAAGAAAACTTTTACTTACAGGGACCGTGTTCCAACGAACATGATAAATGAGGCAAGTCAAGCAACACTGCTTCCTTGAAAATAAGGATTAGATGAAAGAACATGTTGTGATAAAGTCTTCCAATTTTAACCCCCCTATGGATCCTTAATGGATGAGTGAAGCCCCGTATGGTACCTCTGGCTTTGCACCAGAAGTACTTCAAAGTTGCATGGTTGCAGTCAGTAGTTCCATTACCTATTTAATTATCTCTGTGACCTTTCACTCTAAGAACGCCATAATATGTATCCCACACATGATTCTCAAACCAGACAACTGGCTTCTTTCCTGTGTGAGGTATTAGGAAGAGTTTCTTAGAAGCTGTATTTGTTCAGCAGTTTGCTTCCTGGTGGTTCTGACCACGGCTTTTGCCCCGGAGGTCCAGGGCATGAAAGCCTGTGGAGGATGCAGTAAGTTGCCACAGTGGCTTGCTGAGCCATTTGGTGAGTCATTTGGGTGTTTTTTTAGATGTGTTACTTCAGTAAAGATGCAGCTTCTGTAGCTAAAAGAATTTGCAGAAGCAATAAGAAGATTAGGTGTTCAGTTTTGTGGCTGTTATTTAAATAAGTATTTTAAGATTTAAACTCCCTCTCATTTCACAGTTTGCTTTTTGTATTAACCTACCTCCCATGTTCCACTCAGTTGTTTTATTACTTTTATTTGGCTGAAGATGCTTGTTGCCTAACACAAAAGTGCTTTTCTTTGCTCACTCTGTGTCTTTTGAGAATAAATTTATTGCTAAAGTAGCCTTCAGTGTTGGTTTGGGTTTGTATTTTTTTTTATGTATGCTTTTATTAATTCATTTAACTTTCTGGAAAAATTGCAGTAGGAGCAGATTACACTTGCACAACTGTCCATTTGAATCAGTCTGTGTAAGCAACTCCTTATTTGTTGTTTTCAGGAACACCCCTAACTTGCCCAAGCTGTTACAATAAGAAGAGATGTGGAAGCTCTTTTTTTTCATTCACTTCTGAAACTTGTGATTTAAAATGTTACTGGAGTTTGTTTAGCTGAGGGATCTGCAAACTATTTTTAAGTTTAGACGAATGATTCAGTTTTTCTGGCCAGATTTAACACTACTGTCTGTAAACTCCTGAGGTGCAGGGATCTGTTGCAGTGCCAGCAAATGTAAGGTGTCCATGCTTGATTCAAACTCAGGTCTGGAGGGAGGTGAGTGGGAGGTAGGGCAAAAAGGACGGAAGAAGATAGCACACCAGTGGGTCTGCAATCTGCTCTGGATTTAGAGGATGAGAAAAATTAAAATACTTAGTACCTGAGAGCTTGTCACCAGCACCAACCATGCTTCATCGCACACCTTGATGTTAGGTTAGAGGTTTGAACTCATTCCTCTTGGCAGCCTCTGGCTGGGGCAGCCATGAGGTCATTTGTTGTGTTCCCTGCAACTGGTTCTGTGAAATTCTTTCCTAGTGTCTCTCACAGAGCTTGGAAACTGTATGACAGGGTGTTTATGTTGTTGTTTTTGTTTGGTTGTTTTAATTTATTTAACATAATTGCTTGTCTCTTAACATGATGATGGTTTTAAACAAGTAGTTCAACACAAATATTTATTGAAGCTCTGTAGAGTTCAGTGGAACTCCCCTCATCTCTGTGACCCGCTCATCTTGTTCTGGCTACTTTTGCAACCTAGAAAGCTGAGGTCTTCCTTCTGCTTTGAGGATACTGTTCACCTTGCTGAATCGTAGGTTCTGGTTCTTCCAAGAAGAACCTCAATAATGTTGGATCTGTCAGAGGGCAGAGCTGAAGCAGCAGCCCTTGGTGGTACTGCCACAGGCCTGGTATCTCCACAAAAAGCATTCTGTCTGCTGTTGTGCAGACATGTAGCTTGCTTTCTTCCTTATTGTAACTTCCCCCATCCGCCTGGTGTGTTTCTTGATAATGAGGAACACTCTTAATTGTCTTGAGTTACTCGAGGCAGGGATCCTGAGCGTCTGGGAGGTGTACTAATCTCAGCAGCAATTTCTCTGCATTTGTCCAGCTGGCACCACTTACTCCAGTACAAAGAACGACTGTTGCGTTGATTAGTGAGGTTATGGAAAGGAGGACGTTTCTGGGAGTGCCTGACATCCTGGGTTTTTTTCCTTAGTGTTTGGCACTGTATAAAGAGGAATGTCTTCCTTATCAGTTGTATTATATTATATTAAACACAAAATCTAAATATTTACAGATCAGCTTTTTTGATTAACATTCTGCTCTGGCTTGGGGAATTATTTGTTTAAGGCTAGTCTGAAAATTTCATATGTGTTCTTATGTAAATCAGGCCACGAAAAGTAACATACATCCTGCAGTCGTTTTCACTGGATTTTCTATGTACTTGTGTCTTCTGAGGGAGTTTGGAAAAGAAAAGAGCTTATCACAAGAAGTGCAGGTTGTTATAAGCCGCAGCCTGTTGGTTAGCTGGAGGAGGCAGTCTGCAGGAACCTGCCAGAAGAGCTTCTGTCAGAGCTGTGAAGTGACTGTTGTGACTCTCTGCTCGCAGTGACAGATCAGGCCTTTGTCACCCTCGCCACCGATGACGTGTACTGCCAGGGGGCCCTGGTGCTCGGGCAGTCCCTGAGGAACCACGCCACCTCCAGGAGACTGGCGGTGCTGATCACACCAGAGGTTTCCAGTGGAATGAGGTAAGGATCCACCTGTTTTCGGAGGTTGATAATATGCAAGAATAAACAAGAGCATGAAGAGTTTGAATAGGCTTCCTGTGGATTTCACAGCATTATGTCTAGAAGGTTCCCCCTTGGCTGAACATTTCTGAGAGGAGTCCTGAATAACGTCCACGATAAGATTGTAAGCCTCATAAGAATTGTGGCTGAAAGCTGACTTAAGCCCATAACTGGGAACATAAGTAGAAAGTTTAGGAACTAAGATTTTTAGTGTCTTACTTCTGAGCCAAAAAAAAAACTCTACTGTTTTTTTTTCCCCAAGTGTTTCTCTTTTAGAAAGAGCAAAACACAGCCACACACAACATCAGAACTCTCCAGAAACCTTAGGGCTCAGTTTCAGCCAACTAATCTTCTTAAAATATTGGTGCACAGCTATCACGATGACAAATTAATTTGTTTTTGCTTCTTTTTTACTATAACTTTCCAATTTGGGTTATGAGTTAGCAGGTGCTACAGAAATGTCACTACATCTGTTGAACTCAAGCCCTGCTATCTGGAGGAACTGCAGTGCTTGCTAAAAGGAACATGAGATGCCAGAGCTACTTCAGCTCTTAGTTCTGCTGTGGCTTAGTAAGTGTGCAAGCTCCTGATTTCTGTGGGCCATGTGAAATTATTGACAATGCATCTGTCTCAAGAAACGTACTTTCCCATTATTGCTGTGATTAGATGTACAGAAGCCTGTTTTTTATAGTTTTTTTTTTTTTAAAAGTATGGGTTTTTTGTTGGAACACTGTAACCTTCCTGAGGGAATACTGTGTATATCTGACACCTGGGTGGACACTAAGTCTTATCTTTTTTTCCATCCTCATTCAGTGGGGGGGCAAAAACTTTATAATATACTTTTTAATCAAGGATAGTATCTTTAAAAATCTTTTACCTGATCTTAATTCTTTCTCAGGTAGATTCTGACTTTTAAAAGGTAAGTCAAGCAAAAGCTTATGACCCTGAAACCCAGATATTCAACACAGGCTTTTCCTTTTCCTCTTGTATGACATCCAGCGTGGTGCTGTTCTGCAGAGACAACTGTGCAGGACGAAAGCTGCTGGAGTTCCTGTTGGTGTTTCTGTAGGAGATTAAGTAACTGAAATGAGGATGGGTTTCTCCTCCCTACAGCACCTGTCACTTTTGTGGTGCTGGCCCTGTAGTGGAAGAGGCCATGGCTGGTGGCCTGATCGATAGCTGTCCCTCCAGCAGACTGTTTACAAGGACTTGTGCCTTCTTTCTTCTCATTCTAGCCAATCAGTCTGGCCTTTATTATTGTCATAATAAATGTGGCACCGTGTGCTGCTGTTTTCATGCCAGAAGTGGACTCTGCGGACCCTCTAACTTCTCTCTCCACTGCTGCTCTGGCAGGTCTGCCCTCCACAGCGTGTTTGATGAAGTGGTCGAGGTGGACGTGCTGGACAGCGCTGACTCGGGCCGGCTGGCTCTGATGCAGAGGCCAGAACTGGGCGTCACCTTCACCAAGCTTCACTGCTGGACTCTCACTCAGTACAGCAAATGTGTCTTCATGGATGCAGACACGTTGGTGAGTAGAGCAGGAGCCGTGGACGTGTTTGTGTCGGCCCTAAGAGCTACGCTGAGCGTGGGACGCTTCCTTGCCAGGCAGCCTGTGAAGTGGCCAGGCTTGCTGGTGGTCACAAAGTTGCAGGAGCTCCAGCTGGCAGGTTTTGACAATGCTCAACAGCTCTGCTGGGTGCATAGAAATAAACCCTGTTTTGACAGTAGCCTCAGGACTGTCCTCAAAAGATATCGTAAACATGCTTTATGCAAAGGGGCTTCTGCCAGATGTTTAAAATAGATCCCTGGTATGCTTTTGTTTGGACTACCTCTAGTCAGGGAGGCAGACCAGTTTTAAAATGGAGAGGAAAAAACAAAGCAAACAAACCTCAGAAACATTAATTGCTTAAAAAAAACCCCAAACAAACAAACAAAAAACCCAAACAATTAGAGGTATAAGATAAAAACGGCCATAATTTTGGGAGGGACAATTTTGTCAGCCTTCCCCTACACTTACATGGCTCACTTGGGAAGGCTGGGATGCATTTTAATGTAATAGGATTATATTTGAATTAGAAAACCAATGAAGTTACTTGTTTAAGGAGGTGACATGGGGAGGCTTAGGATTTTGTGCTTTACATTAAAGGTAAAGGAGGATGGCAAATATTTGGTTTGTTTTAAATTGAATGAAGCATTCTTTCTCCTAAAAACAATTTCTTTTGCTTTTCATAGTTGTTCAGTTGTGGGTGGGGTCCAGACTTTCATCAACCACACAACAGTCTTTCCACTGATTTTGAAAGTAATCTTGGCCTTGTCCTGATTGATTTTTCATTACTTCCTCGTGAAGTTTAAAAAACAAACCAAAGAAAACCTCTGAGCTTAACTTACATTAGAAAGCTAGTAACAAGTGACAGTTTTTCTGCCATCCCTTTAGTCAGTCTGTTGCTAATTCACACTGGATTCCCAGCTGTCATTCAGATCTGTTGCAGCTGCTGAGAAAGCAGGCTCTGGGAAGGAAAGCTAAGAAAGAAGGAAATAGTGTGTTTTCATGGTATGTTATAATATTTAAGGGGACCTTCTAGAGCATCTCAAAGGTTCATGAAATAATTTCACAAGGTTTGTGTTTTTATCAGAGGAATCATGGAGGCCCACAATTAATCTTGCCTTATATTAAAATAGAGGTTCTGACCTCTACCGTATCTTGTATTGCCACTGCTTTTATGCTCTGCAAGGTATATACTTGTCCAAACTGGCAGTTTACTCCACTGATCCTCATTTAGACACTCCTGTTCTAGAAAAACCTTTGCTCTAACAATTTTTCATTTTTTCCTGCTCTCTCTAAGGTTCTTTGCAATGTTGACGAACTGTTTGATCGAGAAGAGTTTTCAGCAGCTCCTGATTCTGGCTGGCCTGACTGCTTTAATAGTGGTGTGTTTGTCTTCCGACCTTCTCTGAAAACTTATGACCTGCTGCTCCAGTTTGCTGCTGAGCATGGCAGCTTTGATGGTAAGGGGCAAGGCACAAGGGGTGAAGTGCAAGGCATTAGATTCCTTCTCAGCAGGCTGTTTTTCCATAGCTACCATGCTATCTGGCAGAGTGTAGGAAGGCAGGAGTTCTCTGGGCTTTATGCAGTTGTGCCCCTACAGAAATTTAAGGTGCAGACCTTTGCCTCCTAGTCTGTTCTTAAGACCCATTGAGTATTGTGGACTGTGCTCCCAGCAGAGGGTAAGGAGGTGACATTGTGTATGAGTCCTGCTCAGTAAGTTTTAATTTTGCTGTCTGGTTTAGGAGAGACATACAGCTCTTCAGTCTTCTGCTCTGAGGGAGACCAAACCCCTTTCCTACTCCTTTCTTCATGTATTACAGTAGGACTGCATTTACCCTGAGCTTGCTTCGGCGTGGATCAGGTATTACTTGCTTGTACCTGCTCGTGTGGCCATACTGTGGAGTCAAGTTTCAGTCCCATGAGCACACCAGTCTCACTCTCATTCTTGGATGTGAAATTTTGATGTAAATCTGAGTGAATGCATAATTATAGTCTACTAGTTTATATATTCTTTAGGTGGCGACCAAGGCTTGTTGAACAGCTTCTTCAGCAACTGGGCAACGGCAGATATTGGCAAACACTTACCTTTCCTCTATAACTTAAGCAGCAGTGCTGTATACACCTACGTTCCTGCTTTCAATCAGTAAGTAGGAAACATGTCTGACTGACTGTGCAACTCTGTAGTTTGTTAAAAACCATTCTTTTATAAGAGGACATAGTAATGGTGTATTCTATTGATGAGAAATTAGAGCAGTGAGGAATGGTGTTATGTAAAAGTCATGCAGCAGAAACTCGAATGCAGTATGAACATCTTGCATCTGGACACAGGGAAATTCCCAGAGCTGGCTAAGCTGTCTCCAAAGTTGTTTCAGAGAAGCTTTTCTCATACTTTAAAAGACCTACATTACTTCAGCAATAGGTTCTGAAGCTTTACTTTGAATGATGTTCCAGTCAGTTCTGTGGGAAACAAATCTGGGGCTTTAAATTTTTTTTTTTTTAAAAAACATTTCTCAGGGTCTTCTCTGAAACAAAATTTATGCTAGTAATTATATGACTTCAGTCAATGCAGCTGGGAAAGTTTTCTGGCAGAAGGCAAGCTGGATTTAGTGTCATGAATTACTGCTCTAGTTGCACAAAACGTTCTTACTGGGAGGTAAACTTAGGACCATGTATCTATTAGTAAGTTTTAATATGGGATCAGTAATAACCAATTTTGTTGATTCAGTATTTGAAGTGGTATTTATTTGTTTATGAAGAGAGTATGCAGGAGGACTAGAAATGGTGCTGCATAAGCCTGTAATTTTCCTTCCTGAACTTTTCTACTAGAATTAGCAGCTGGCAGCAAATGGCAAAGTAGCCTTTCATTTTCTCTATGCTAAATGAGATACATTAAACTAATAAGATAGAAAAAATACTGAATACATACTTTTATTGAATTCGTTGCTGTTGCAAAATGTCAATATTACCTCAGCAGTGAGAGCAAGCATATTTTTTTAGCTGTACAAGTATATATAGATATAGTTATACACCTCTGTGTTTAATCTCTACAGTTTTGGTAGAGATGCCAAAGTTGTTCACTTCTTGGGAGCGACAAAGCCCTGGAACTACAAATACAACCTTCAAACAAAGAGAGTTATGCAGGATGGCACCACCTCTGGATCTTTTCATCAGCTGTCATTTCTTGCCCTCTGGTGGAACATATACAGTGCCAGTATATTGCCTTTGTTAAAAAAAATTCAGCAGATGGAAGAATCAGAATCTGAGGAATACAAGGTGAGATAAAGAATTGATAATGAGGTAGTGTGAATTCAACAACACTTCTTAACGTTATGTATTTGCTAGATGAAAGAATTACATGGAAAAAGATGGTATTTCTGAATTGGTAGTAACAGTGATTGTTTCTAGAAGCACCTAAACTAATAGTTTAGGAAGGCTTTTTAGTACTGTTTGCTTTCCAAAAATGTCCTTCAGCCTTCTCAATTCACAAAGAGTGTACAGAAATGTACAAATACAAAACATGGTACAAATTAGCTAGAGATGGTGAAAATCTGGCCACAAAACAAATGGACCTCAGACTTTTTGAAGATGAATCGATGTAGACCAACAAATTAGCCCTTGAATTATAGTAACATTTACCTTTTTTGGAACAGCATTGTAGCTTTTTTTGAGGGTCATAACAAATCAGGCTTGTGAAGGCAGTGTTCATTACATTTAGGATGTTATGCACAGCACTCATGTCATCAAGCATCTACTGAGCTCTTTACACTTTTTTTTTTCTTCAAAGAAAATGAAGCAATGTATGGTTTCTATGAATAGAATAAAAAAACTTGGTAGACAGATGATTTCTTGGATATCGGTAGCATAAAGTAATGAGTAGAACTATGACTTTTATATTTGTATGCAGATAAAGCAATTTAGATAATTTATGCATATGTAAACATTTTCTATTTTAATATTGGACTATTACCATCACTGAGCTATTTGCATAGTCCTGTAAGATCAATGGGACAATTACCATCAAAGTCCCAGAGAAGAATTTTGTTTTTTAATCTCACGACACATTGGAAAGTAGAGGCAGGAACGGGTCACTTTTGATCTCATACTTTGATGTGCTTTAATTTTTAAAAAATGGTGCAGTAAAGAGATTTCAGCCTTGACAACATGGAGGTGGAAATACCTGCTAGACTTCCCTCTTGATGATGCTGGCATGCTTAGAGTGCAAAAATCTAAATTGCAGCACGGTCTGAATCTCTGTGACCACAAACTTTTAAAAATTGATTAATTTTTTCCTTTAATACTAAGCTTCCCCATAAGGAAGCAAAACTTTCGTGAATAAGATATAGCTTTCCTGCAAAACTGCATGTCCACGGTGAAATGTTCTTGGTTTTGTCAGCACGCTTTCCATGGGGTTGAGATCCTGCTGAGGAAGGTCAGTCCCCAGGCGGCCAGCTGGCCGGGAGTGCCCCTGCTCCCAGCGCAGGTGTGCGGAACTGCCCCCACCCCATGCTGCCCTCAGGAGCCCCCTCCCACACCTGTAAGTATGTTATCTGTCACTATCTGCAGTGACAAAGTTGTAAAATGAGGTTTTAAAATTTATGCTTCTGATCTGGGGGTCTGGCTTCTGCAACTGAGCTGTAGCTATTGAGTTTTCTTGCTAGCATCAGAAGCGGTCTAAGGAGTATCTATTTTCTTTAATCTTTAGCCACCCTTGCATGATATATCTGGAAGTTGAAAGAGCTTGTGTTGAATTTTGTGAAGTGATTACTTATTGAATATTGTTAGGTACTTAATGAAGTGTAACAAAAAAAAATTATTACTAAAGTAATCTTTTGAATATTAATACTCTTGTGAATTGGTCTCTTTAAAACTAGAACCCTCTCTATCACTCCTGTAGAATTTTATTTTTTTTTTCTAGAAGTGTTGACTTGGAAAACTGTTCCCCAGATTTCTCTGAGTTGGGCAACAAGGAGTGTCTTTAAAAAAAATCCAATGATGATGATTCTAGGAGCCTTGGTTCTTCTGTCTGTCTTGTATCAAGGTGTTTTTCTTGGACTGACTCCCCTTACTTTATACAGGAATTAAGTTGAACATAAGAGCACAATGTTTCTGTAGCGGTAACCCATTATGTGTTGTTTGATAGACCGTGCTACAGCAAGGTACAATTGGGAGAAACTAAAGCTAATGTTCTAATGTCCTCTGCTATTGTAATTGTGGACTGCTCTAGTAAAATGGAGGTGGTTGTTTGTATTAAATTCTGTGCTTCATCCCAGTAGACTATGGCTACTCTATAAAGTAACACTGCAGTCTGCCTGCCTGCCTTTCTTTTCCACCCCAAGTGTGTAGGGGCTAAAGGAAAATTGCAAACTTTCCATCTCTAACTTATCTTTTGTGAATGAATTATTCTCATCCTGTGTGCCTAATGCACCTGACTCCATGGGGAATGCCCAAACAAAATAGGGTCACGCTTTCAAAATGTTTGCTTCGAGTAAAGAAAAAAAATCATAATGTTCACTTTGAAAATTGAAGTACAATATTTTATTTCCTTTATTTTCTTACTAGGATTGGTTTATCAGAAGATCATATTAATGATTAATCACATTAATAGCTTGATTTTCTTCTTGTTTAGGAACACCATCATTCCACTTTTTTGTTTCTTAGCTTCAGTAGTCTTGTGGGATTGTTTCGGTGGAAAAGGACTTCAGAAGGGGGTCTTTCTATCATTTGTTTTGATATCTGGCAGAGGCAAGTGTTTTGGGCAATCTACCTCTGTTTTTGAATATGTTGTTCTATTCTCGTGAGTTATAGAGCAAGCTATTATCCTAAAATGAGCTTTTTCTCATTGAAGTTTGGCCTCATGAACAGTAGGCATCAACTGTAAGCTGGCTTCCCAGGCTGTTTCTGTAGTCACTGAAGAATGACAGCCACTTTGAACCTATTTTAGGATGAGATGAGCTGCCCTCTGGAGGTACTTACCCTAGATTGATTGCAGCAGAAGCTTAGATTCAATGCCATTTTGATAGCTAAAGCAGGGTGAGATGAATTTTGTCCTTGGTTATAATGTGTTTTGTTCTTTATCCTTCCATCCACTGCTTTCCCATACCCCAGGACTGAAATCAATTTGTATTGTATGAATTTTCATTATAAGGAAACTATGGGAAAAAAAATTCTCCTAATAAAACCTCAGTGGCTGTATTTTAGCAACCTGCATGTGAAGCTGAACAAAGTGTTTCTAATGTCCATTTTTCTGAGCCTGACAGAGCTCCATAACAACTTGTATCTTACCCTGTGTTTTGGGAAGCCTCAGAACAGTTACATGTAGCTTTCTGCATTGCTCCTCTGTTGACAATTGCATGCGTGTCTTTAACAACATCATTTTGGGAAATAACTAATTATGATACAATGTGCAAATAAAATCTTGAGTCTTTTAGTTCTGTCATTCCTTAATTGCTTCCAATACTGGGGTGTGATCCCATTCTATCAATTATACTTCTAGTTTTTAGTTTTCCTGTGCTAGCCCCCAAGTAATAAACACATGATGTTAATTTTAGCTCTCCGATACTAATAGATGCAAAGCTGTTTGGGGTTTTTCTGTGCTGTTTTGTTGGGTTTTTTTTGACTTGCTGAAGTGATGTTTCTGAGCAAGTGCAGGAGGAGTGTGGAGTGATGCAGGCCTGGAGCCTCAGCTGCTGGGCTTTCCTGTGTGACCTGGAGCTGCGTTCCTCCGTGGGCAGCGTGACAGCGGTGCCAGCCGTGGTGCTGGTGGGGAGGACGGGGGTCGAGGAGCTGGGTCTTGGGAGGCAGACAACACAGACGTTTTCCTACTGAGGCCTTCTGTGTGGTTGTGGAGCACTGTGGTGAAACACTGTAAGACTGAGAAACAAATGTTAGGTGAAACTGCAGCTCTCCTGCAGCCACAGATATTTGGGCCCTAGCTAAAATTCTTCATATATAAAAGTGTCATGATTCCTGTCTTGTTCATGGCATCCAGTGCTGTTGCTAAGGCTTTCCATGGTAGAGAAAGAAATCTTCATGGTCTACTGTGGTTATGTGTATGCAGAGCCTGAAAATGAAATACGAAGTGCTGGTGCATGTTTGCATATATAGGGAACAAGCATGCTCTACAGGGTTTATTCATGTTTAAGTTCCTGTACAGAGTGAGACCCAGGTGGGGATATGTATGCAGTTGCCTGGGCATGTAGTGTCATGTTAGCTGCTTGAAATACCTTCCCTGGTCTGCAGGTGCCTTGTCTGCCCCAAATGAGCAGGTGTAATGGTCTTTCCATTGGTGGTTTAAGCCACCAATTCCTGCCCATTAAGTTCTGTTCTGAAACATCGTTCTATCGAATTTGTGAGGGCTTCACTGGAAGGGCCACTCTGGTTGATCCCACTTTTGTTTATAACATGAGATTAATTTCTTGCCTTAGAGCCTCTTCAGTAGCATGGAAAGCAGGTTCGCAGTATCTGCCTCGATTAGTCCTTGTTATATTTCAGCTTTCTTACTGGCTATAGTTGTTGACATGTTCTGGTTTTACTGACGTCGCTGAGTCATGGACACGGGTTTTTCCTTTCATGTGGTTGAAATTATCGCTAATAATGTGTCTTGCATTTGTGCACCTGTGCTAACTTCATTTTGAACCAGGATTCACGGTTTTGGGCTGTCATTAAAAATGAACTAGTTCTTGGTGTAATGAGTAGGGTCAATCTTTTGAAGTAATTTATACAAGTAATGGGTCTCACATCTGCTAAATAACACTGACCTCACTGGAGATCAGATAAAACAAATGATCATAAATTCTAGGAATGCATGTCCACATAAAAGGCTGTTGAAGACAAAAATTGCACAGATACATGATTACACTTTATTGTAGGAGAGATTCTACTCTGAAGAGGCTGCATCTATAACACTGTGTTGTTGCCAAGTATGCCAAGGTTCGAGTTCAGTAAAGTAAATGTTTGGTATGTTCAAAGGTGCTATGACAAGTAATAAAAGCACGGGAAAATGAGATCATGCCAGCAAAACAGGAATGAATATTTGAAAACTGCTTTTTACAGTGCCTGTTAAAACAAGAAAACAAAGAGAAGTTTGACATTTAAGGTGGTTTAATTTCACAGCACATAAATGAGAACAAGCAAATGACTGTTTTCATGTTGTTCTGCTTCTTTCCACAGGAGGAGGTTGCACACTCCATTTCAGAGCTGTCTATTCATTTCAGACCAGAGGAACCGAGTCCAGAGGATGAACGGAGGAAATGGGAGGAAGGACGCATGGACTACATGGGGAAACATGCTTTTGAACATATCAAAAAGAAACTGGACACGTTTTTACATTAAGATGGAGCATATTGCAATGGTCATTGTGATCTGTGTTTCTTCTATAAATGTGTTCTTTGAATAATTGGCTATCCTCATAGTTTATTTGACAGCAAACTTAAAGAGGTAGATAAGGATCCTTGTATACTTTTGGGGAAGATTAACAGGTACAGACTCTTGTTTTTTTAACTGTTAAATGTGCCTCATCTTTATGATGTGCATCTCATCGTCATTGTTCTCCTGTTGTGCCTTCTAAAGTATAATGAATGGTACCCTCTGAGTTTGAACCCTCATATTTTTTTTAAAACAAAACTTTTTTACACTGAGGGTGCTGAAACACTGGCACAGGTTGCCCAGGGAGGTAGTAGATGCCCTATCCCTGGAGATATTCACAGTCAGTTTGGATGGGACTCTGAGCAACCTGGTCTAGTTGAAGATGTCCCTGCTCACTGCATAGGGTGGTTGGGCTAGATAACATTTAAAGTTCCCTTTTGACTCAAGCCATAGTATGATTCTGTGTTTAATCACTCTTCCCTGCTCCTCCCCATAGTGTTCTGCAGAAGCAGCTGCAAGTGCAAAGCATGTTGGAGGCTGAGATTATTTCATAAATTCAGATAATTTGAGAAGTACTTTTACCTTTAGAAGATGCTATAAAACTATTTAAATAAAAACCTTGCTCTTGAAATGAAGTTAATATTTTCAAGGGCAGTCATAGGGTTTTCAATAGGAGAAAAGTAAGGGGATGAAATCCTGGCCTCACAGGAATCTGTGACAAAACTTTTTCACTTAGACAAAGTCTGAATCTTCTCTAATCCTGAGCTCACTAGTGGATGCTCCCCCTATTCATAGGAAGCTGCTCAGTTTTGTCTCCAGTGTGATGAATGACGTAAAATGGGTAAGAGAAGAGATTTACATACACTACCGGTCCCCACTGATGCTATGGGATACTTTTGGGTTTTTAAGTATTATCTTTACTTGCATATTCAGCGTTGCACAGTCAGGGGAAGACATGCTGGGGCTGTGGTGTAAACCTTCTGGTGCACTGTATCAGTGTGTTTACAGTACTCCACACTGCAGCTGGCAAAGGCTTCTCCTGGCTTAGCACGGCGGCCCCGCGTTGCCGGCGGGTGGAGTGTGGCTGCAAGCGCTTGTTTCAGAAAACAGGCCCTTCGAAGGTCTTTTAAACAGTAGCTGTGTGAGGGAACTAATAAATCTGGGAGTGTAGTTCCAGAAAAGTCTACTAGTGAGATTCCATTATATTAAGGATACTTATGGGGGATTGCTTTGTGAATTTGGGTATTTAAATTTGACTAATGGCAGCAAGTTTGTCTTAACAAACAAGGAGAAAGAAACACTTTGAAAGAAAAAAAAGCTTGACAGACGTGCTAATATGATAGCAGATTGGATGTGGTTATTGATCACGCTAGTCAGTATTAGAACAAGAATTCTGCAGTGCTGATACAGGACTTGAAACACATTTCAGTATTAATACATCACCAATTTTGGTACAGATATGCCTAATGAAATACCTTGGGAATTTTGATTAAAAAGCAATGATGTAATGTTATGTGTCAGAGGGTTTGCCATAGATGCTAGTGGAGAAGAAGGCAGGATAGGAGGGAAGGAATATTTCTTCCTTCTCCCATCAGAAAGGGTGGAGGAGGGAAGGGAATAATTTGCACACATTAAGAAAGAATCAAAAGAGTCAAAATGTCCCTTAAAGGAAGAAAAGTTATCTCTAAGCATTTTAGAATTACTTTGTGATAGCCACAATAGTGGATTTGCTTTTACTTTTATGGGGTATTTCTCATTTTTGTCTAGTTCTTTACTTCACATTTTTTCCAAGCACTCTTAATACAGGAATCTTTGGTGCAAATGCTGAATTCAAGCTCCTAGTTCAAGCTGGATATTTAGGGTCTCTGAAGTTGAAGAGAGAGACGTCCAGAAGACGATTCTTCTCAGTTTCTCCGTTGATCATACAGGGACGCTGGCCAGGCAGCCTCTCCAGGGTGGGTAACCGTGGCACGTTGTCACAGGTAGGTGTGTTCCACCTCTCGCTGCGTGCGGCGCCACGCGGAGGTTCCAGCAGCTGCAGTGTCCTCCTGCACGTGTGGTGTTGGATCTGCTGCTGGTCACCCTGTTCCTGGTGAACCTGTGTGCTTCTGAGAATGCTCTGCTTTAGAAGCATTGCTGCTGATGGAGTTCAGTTTTTGAAGACTGCCTAAAACTGTAGCCAACAGCATGAACTCGTGCTTCATGCAGCTGGACTTTTTACAGTCAACTACCAGATCTGACTGGGCACATTAATTAGATTATGGGAGAAAAATCATGGGAAATCAGTAACTGACAGGTTTTAGAATAGGCATATGAATGTAGTACAAGGAGCTGTCATGGAATACATTTGAAAATGTTAATGTGTAAAATTGTACAATCCACATGCAGTACTATGTTTTGCAAAGAATTGTAGTGCATTAATGTTGTGGAAATAAAATAGAAATGGAAAGGACATATGAAGTCATGTGCTTATCGGATGATGGCGGGGCTACAGGTTTATTTTATGTCAGGGAGTATTATTTGTGACTGGTTACTTTTAATTTTTTTTTAATTTTAATTACATTCAAGACACCAACACTATCAGCTGGGCAGTATTAAAAGGTGTGAGTTATAATTATTTCTCCAGACAGGTATAATTACAAGCTTTAGGATCTCTTAGCACCACAGTGGTTGGTTTGCTGTGTTTCATGGAAAAGCAGAACTGTGGTTAAAATCCCTGCCCAAGTTTGTGTACTGTCTTCACACAAAAAATATTCAATTTGTTACAAGTACTGTAGTATCAGAGTGGATTCTAGTGCAGTGCTGTTGTTACCAGAGTGTGAGAAGGGAGAATCTTGTAAGTGAACCCAGAACTTACAATTGCTTTGGGCAGCATTCTCTGCTCTTACAGACATCACTCTGAAACCTTGGGGCCACGAGCAGGTCTGGGGAGTGTTACGAGCTGTGTGTTGCCGTGAGCCACAGGGGTGAGGTTTGCTGAGTTGAAACATGACTTGGAAAAAATTTAGCAAGCTTCACCAAGAATTTCTTCCACATTAGAGTGTGGTATAGCCCCAGGTATTTTCAGGGAAAATAAAGTTAAGAAACGTGGACTTTTTGGTGCCACTATTCCTCCCTAAATAAGCCATTTTCACTTTGGCAACATGGAAGGCACTGTAGAACTAGTAACCTAAGTGGTAAAGGGAAAAAGATGGCATGGCAAAATGAGAACCACCAAAGATCCTTTACCAGCTGGTCTGCACGTGTGTGTGTCTGAGAGTTTTGTCAGTATTTGGTAAGTCCTAGTGAGCTGAGGAGCAGCTGTGAGGATTCTGAGAGGCCAGACTCTGACCTGTTGCTGTGTGGTGGGAGAGTCTGTATTCAAAGAGGACAGCTTGTGTTTAAAACAAAACCTGCTAAGTCTTCTTCTGTCATGTGCTTAGAGTTATTCACAGCTGGACTTAAAGAGCAAGTTTATTTGCCATACAAAAATTTTATTGGGCACTCCCCATGTATAAGCAGGAGATAGTGTGGGTGTGCCACAAGGAAAATTCTTGAAAATTTTAGACATGTGGGTTAATGTATTTTCCTAGCCTATGGGAAAAGGAGACTGTTGTTCTTGAAATACCACTTCACTTACTGCCTGGTGTCTTGTGAGGACCTTTCCAGTTGGGTTGTTTTTGGGAAAGAAGTTTGTCTCTCTAGTTCAGTCAGCTCATATCAGTTGTTCTGTAAGGCTGGTATTAAAAAAAAAACAAACAAACAAACAAAAAAAAAAACCCAAAACAAAAAAAACCCACCCTTTTTTTAACCTTGATTTTTCTGTCTATGAATGGGAGACTGGGTTAGTAGCAGGTGGCTTTATATGTTTGTGTGCTCCTGAAAACGTCTACTTGTTCAATAGCAGCAAGTCTGCAGCATGCTTGTTTATTCCTTCATGGATCTGATCCTGTTTTGCTAATCTAAACTGTATTGATTCATATGACTTGGAAAATAGCATGAGACAGGTCTCTTCTCTTAATTCACATCTCATTTTTTTACCTTTATATAAAGGTGTTTAGGTCAAGTCTATGGAGAAAATGTTTTATGTATTGGATTGTGGTTTTTTGATTGCATTTTCTTTTCATTGTTTTGGGATTTTATTTCTGCTTTGTTTTGATAGTTTTGATTTTGTTTATTTTTCAGTCAGCCCTGCAAGTGTGATTAAATGCATAGTAGTCAATTCTTAAATATCCTGCAAATATACACTTCAGTTAATAGTCATTGAAATGGTCTGCAAATATTCAGGACTAATACTAGTCTTGAAATAGCTGTGAAACACTTCAGCTGAAATCCTACACGTCCTGGGTTGGCTGGCTCATACAGAATAGTTTCTTTGCTGACAGTTGAAAGGGATGGCACTCGAGCAATCTGTTACATCCCAGTATGAACTTCCAATCGTGGTGCTAACGAGCATAGTACTGGTAGGCAAGGATCTCTGAAATTCAGTGATGTGCTGAAAATCTAGATGTCTCTGTCCCAAAAGTGGGTTGTGCATTTATTTATATTAATATATATTCATATATATTTACTGTGTTATATATATGAATATGGGTAAATAATTTTTATATATATAACATTACTATTTTGTCATCTTTTGGTTGTGTGCTTAAACTAAGTCCCTAAACATCACTCTACTGTATTAATTTTTGTGACTGAGGCATTCTGGCAATTCTCATCACATACAAGGATGAAAAAGACTTACCAAAAATATTCTACTGCCTGCTTAAAACATAGCATGTATGCTGTCTTTTGGTATTAAAATATATTCTATATTCTTAGCTGAACTTTACACTTCAAGTGTGAGACCTTTAGCATTTAAACCTCCATTGGTTTATGATCAAAACTGAAACACAGCACTGAAATTCCTTGTTTTTTCTTAAGTGTAATGAAAAAGACAGAAATAAATGCAAGGTAGATTGAATTTTAACACAAATAAATTTGCTGGG